ACTTAATTTATAGTTCATAATTTAATTCAATTTAAATTATAATTTGTAATTTATAGTTCTTTCTATCTAGAAAAGAGAGCGTGGATATTGGTCTATGATATTCAGATATCGGCAATCAAACAATTAACTGGCAATTGAATCCTGTTGAAATATTGTGGATTATTAAACTTCGCCATCCGCTTTTGAAATGTCTTGCCATTTGTTCCATTTACTTGTCCTTTTCAGAGTGCAGGAACTTCGTATATGGGCAAGCGGTCGAGCAACATCTAGGAAAACGTGCCGACGAACTCTCATTCGACGAAGGTGATCTGGTTTGGGTGAGTTGTTAAAGTAATAATTGAGCAGTAAAGCCCCATACATGGGAGAAGTAGAATGGGCTGTAGAAGGTGCAATTGACTACTGTCCGGTTGGCATGAATGGTAAGTGTCTGATGACGCGAATGATTGACGATTACTGGAAAAACGTGTGGCCGTTCATGTATAGTCCCAATTCTGGTTTACTTAGTGACTGTTTAATGCACAGTATAGTGTGCAGGATCCGTTTCGCATTCAGATTCACCCTAGCGTTTGATAATTTCTGTCATCGCAATGTGCATCCTTACATCAACTTTTCAATCCGCTTACTGGTCACCGTTAACGATCTGATTCCAGCATGAATTATTCGGGTCATTTTTGACCTCATTTCGTGTAGCTCTCCTCACACTACGGGCTATTTTGGCTCGTTTGCGTGGCGCCCTTTTATTGACTTCAGTAGTTCCAGCAACGTACCGACGAGTCTCGTGATTGAGGCATTTATGCTGCTTGTTTTCGTGTTGAACGCTAAATAATTAATTAGCTAATGAGAGGCGAATAGCGCACATACGTGACCTGACGCCTCGTTGCCGCCAAGGGTCAAAGTCGCTTCTTTTTCCCTTTACGGCTATCTCTTTAATGTCGACTGAGAATTATTGTCGCCTAATTGACGCGACTAATGAGGCAAACCGAGCAACATGTGTGAGCCAATGAGACATTTTGTTTGTCTGGGACAAAGCCCTAGCCCGTAGCCCTCTTTGGTCCAGAGTATCGTCACATGATAGCGAGCTGATTTGCTGCCAAAGGTTAGAGACAATTTCCGCGATCAAGTGGTCCGCCAAATGCCTCCGTGCATTTGGCATCGTTGTCCGCATTCGCAGAGAATGTACCACTTTCGTCACTCGAAACGGCGAGATAAAGAAGCTAGAGACGCGTGATTATTGCAACCATTGCAACTTTCACTCTGCAAAACAACGGCTAACAAGCGGAATTGCGTGTGTACGTGGCGTTGCCTGAAACGTCGTAGGGTGATTTCCTGTGTCCTTCCCGATTGGTTGCACATCAAATCCTGCTGACTGGGCTTGCATACGTCGACAAACTCGTCCAAGGCGCCGGACCCCTTTGCTAAGAGAGGTCTCTGTCAGAGTGTTCACCAAGATTTTTTTTCCCGCTTCTTTCTCCACTGGGGAGCCACTTATGGGCTACTGTTCCATGACTGATTGTGAGCAACAGCCTACTACCCGTCACAGTTGCTCGCGGGAATTGTTTTTAAAGACAGTCCCGCGCTAAACAATCCGCGAGCGTCCTTCTTGTTCAGTTAATCTGGCCCGCTCTCTATAAGACTGTAGCACTTCGTGGCTTTACAGTAATAACGAAGGGACTACGACCTCACAAGTGGAAGTTCTGACACCTTTCTAGCCGTACCGCCCAAAAGAGGCTGTTCTCGGTCACGAGTTCAGTGTTTTTTGTTCTGTTCTTCGTTTTTTTTCTCCACAGTTAGATGATATTGGCATTGTATGACTCGGGGAAGCGGAATGAGCCAGAGGTGACAGGATTATCGCTTTGCTGGCATAAAACGAAGGGGTACGGAGAACTTATACGGTGAGGCTGTCGGGGAGGCTCTTACTTAGGGTGTTCTCCATGATTAATCTTTTGCCTTTTGTTCTCGTTGGAGTCTTTCAGTGCTAGAGATTTGTAAATGAACGCCCTTGTCTTACAGTATGATCGCGGGGTTTTTCTTCGAAAAATATCAGTGCTAATGGTGTTGGTGCGATATTTGCCCCTTGAAATGTCATCGTCTTTGGGTTTTACAGTGTTGGGCTATATTTCATTGCAATATTACAATGCGACTTATTTCAGCAGTATGTTATTGTCAGTAGAAAGGGTAGAGACCAGTAGGATTGCAAACGCAGATGTTGTTTCTGTTTCCATAAAAGCAATACAATAAAACAGGTTGTTTGGCGTGTAATAAATCTTGATCGAATCAATCGAATTAGAGAAAACAGGTTTGTGAAGTCATTCAACTGATGAATATCCCTATTAGAGCCGGTAATCTGCGTGGTATGTAGCTTCAAGGCTAGGGGGGTACTCGAGGGAGTGGCTTTGTTGGGTGAAAATGGATATACAAGGAGGGGAAGGGATTGGCGCACACATCGTTGTGGGGAATCACACCGAGTAGGGGGGGGTGTTATTTGGTCGGCGAGGGGGAAATGGGAATTTATTTTGATAGTTGATTTATCTCGCTCATGGACGTTGTAAAGGGAGGGAGGGGGGGTCGTATTTGATCATTTTTGGGAGGCAGGAAGTTTTGGCGTTGTGGGAGTGGCGATTGACTTTTGGTGACTTTCCTGTTTCACGCGCTATATGCCCCCCTCCGCTCGACAGCAAAATTTTTGGTAAAAAGTAGGGAAGTTTTCGGGAAATTTTGGAAAAAAGGGGCAGGAAGTTGGGGAAATCTGATTGTAGAGGGGGGGGTCGTATTGTCTCGCGGCTTTTCCTGTTTCATGTGTACTATATACCTTCCCCCCCTACCCGCTCCGACGGCTCGATTCGATCGATTCGATCAGGAAGGACAGAGGGCTGGGGGGGGGGGTCGTACCAACTCCCAAAAAAGGGGGAAAGGGGGAGTGGTTGTATAGAGTCGACTAAAATCCCCAAATGATGTGCCCTGGTTCGGCAGGAATGGGACATTTATAGTGCTTGTCATCAAGGTTTGCGTCGCGCAAGATGATAAGGACGACCCTGTCGAGGCACATCCTACAATGGAAATCCTCAACGAGGGAGGTCGTATTCGGTCGCAGGAGGGAGGGTGTCGTATTTGACTCTGACAGAAATGTTCCCGATTATTGAATTCTCTTGGTTTTTCCGCGCGATGTCCCCCCAACCTCACCTCCCTTCCAACGCTCGACGGCGTTTTTTTTTGGGAGGGAAACTGGAGAATTTTTCGAGAAAAGCGGGGGAGAAGCTGGTAGGAAAATAAGAAAATTTAGGAAGATGAAGGGTATCGAGGAAATGTAAGAAGTTGGTGGGTAGTGTGAGGAAGAGGGTCTTACAAGAGGGGTAAATTTTGAGAGGTTCGTGTTTTGCAATATTTTCCCGCAACGGCAGTACGTGCTCAATATTTCTTTGATATTCCTCTACAAGTACAACCAAGTCGTCCACTACTGTCCCCTTATGGCCATGAGAAGGTGCTATGATGGTGATGATGTAGATGTCGGTCTCAAGTCAGCCTGCGTGTTTGCTTCAGCGTGAAGCAGCTGAGTAATCACTAAAGATGAGTCACTCGCGTGTAGGGTCCTGAAGACAGTCTGGTTTTTGGAAACCCCAGCCATCCAGCTTTTTTTTAGCCTTTTTCAGTGACGTCACACTGGTCCGTGGCCTATTTTCATGAGTAGACCCTGGCAGTGAAGTTCATGAAGTTCATCGTCCTGGGATCCCACGAAGTCTGAAGATACAAGGGTCGAGGTCGTTGTGCGATGTCAATGCCCATGCCACCCATTCATCCCGCCACTCCGTGCTAAATAGGTTTCTAGTGGTATGTTCCATGGCTGAAATGACTTTCTTCTATTGCCACCATTTGTTCCCCAATTTTTCATTTTTTATGAAACTTCCATTTTCTGCTTTGGGCCTAAACAATCAATTCCATGTTTTGATCCCCAAAAACCAATCAAAATTCCATATCTGAGTGGGAGTTGTGCTCCAAGCACTGCGTACCTAGAGGTTTTTTGTTCGAAGGTTTGATAATTCATTAGTCAGGCAGAATCGTTTCGGCTATTGATTACACAGTAAATATAAATTATTCAGAGTAAAAGTAAAGGTAAAAAGTAACAATGGAGGTGAGCAGAAAAAAAAGCCGCAGGGAGGTGGTGTAGTCAGAAGGGCAATGAATGCAATTCTTTGAGTGCTCAGGAAAAAAGTCAAGCGCTCTTCGTCGATTAATTCCTCTAGGAAATGCGCCACTCTTTCTACTTTCACTCTTTTTATCCTCATTTGACCTCTGAACTCAGGGTGTTGACCCTGGCTGTGGTCATATGGTTCGCGCCGGGATTCGATCCTCAGTTTATTGTTGTGGTAGCGGTACTACTTACTCGCCTTGCCTGCATTCATCACTGGAATAAGAGACTAGCAGAAATCTGGAATTCTTGGTGGCTTAGTGCGTTTTCCAGGCTGTCAGAACCAGCATCCAGGGCCAGAAGAAACTCAAATCGATCGTCTGCTGATTTTCCCGATTTCGCTTGCTTTTCGCATTTGGCGATTGGCGCTTAACGATGATGCCTATGTGGCTTTTCGTCATACTTTCTGGACTTGTCGCCCCCCCCCCCAGCTCTGTATTGCTGCTGTATCCTGCTACCCTTGAACGTTTCGCAGTACTGCACTGCTCAGCCCAGTTAATTTTCATGATGAGCTAACGGGCACAAACAAGGGTTGGATTCGGTGCTGTTTTCAGAATTTGCCGCTATTTACACTCACTGCCCGCTCTTCGAAGCCCAAGCTAAATTTTGACAGAAATTTTCTCTCTGTGATAGGTTTGGCCAAGTTG